CCAAAAAACTCTATTTTGCCCTTAATTTGCATTAGAAAGATTTGCCCTGATAATTTGGTGTTGCTCTCATCTTTTAGTTCTACATCATGTTGTGTTGGGTTGTTTCCAATAAAATCCTTTTGACACTTTTAACTGGGTTGTTTTAGAAGCTTTGTCTACCTGATTGGTTGTTATTTTTATTTTTTTGGCCTCTATTTTGGCTGCTTTAGTTTCTTTCTACTATCTACTCCAGCTTCTTAAGCTAGTTTTATTTGTTTGTCTTTGTCGTAATAAAAAGATTTATGTGGTGTCATAAAAATTCTTATTATAGATATATGGATCAATATAGAATGTTTCATTTGAAGATATCAATAAAAAAGTTTCATTGTGGGTCTTATTTGTGTTTTGGTAGAAGCTTCTCAGATTTGAACTACAAATTGTAGTTATTTGACTACAATTATTTGTTTGTTTAAGGGGCCTCATTTTTGTCGTCGCCCTGGCCCCAAATCGGCTTGGACCGATCCTGTCTCAAGGGCACAGAATCATAATCTTCTTCTTCTACATATAAAATTACCAAAATACCCCCCGAAAGACTTGTTATCTGATTCTGGTGTTTGCAAAGACTCTTCGAACATCCTGACCTGCTGCTAACTGCTAAGTTTTCCATCTAAATCTTTTTATCTCTCTTTTTCTTGTTTTAATTTTAATTCTCCATTTTCAGCACGAAAAGGGATTTTCATATGTGTTCCATTGTTGACTTGTTCATGTTGACTTTCCATTTGACTTTGACCTCCTGAATCACTTCTAGCCAATGAAGAGCATTGTGTTTCTGTACTGGTGTTCAGTATCAAAATGAAAAAGATTAGACAATTTGAGTAATAAAAATTAATATCATTAATATATATATATATATATATATATATATATATATATATATATATATATATATATATAGTTTGATTTACTATAAAAACTCTAGTAATTGATTGACAGGTCAGAGTTAACAAGACGTTCTCAATTTCATTTACATTAACCTTCCGTTTATATAATAGTTTCCCGTTTTGTCCCTTGCTTTTTTGAGTTTTGTTTTATACTCTTATTATTTTCAATGTCTTAACTTAATTTATTATTAGAGATATATAACAAAAGATATGTATTATGAAACTATGTCTAACAGTTACTCTAACATGCGAATTTGGATTACGAGTCTTGAATTGAAAGAAATAAGTTTGTTAACAGAACTGTGCTGCTCATTTTTAAACAGATTAATCGCCTTGTATTCATAATCAAGTCCTGTAGAGTGTAGGCAACCATATCTTGTTCATCACACATCAATGCTAAAGTTCCAGGGGACATGGGCCTCCCTTTTGACCCATCTGGCCCATCTGAACCCGACCCATTTGGGCCCATTTCATCATCATCATTGTGGGCCCCACTTGAAGGTTTATCTGCCACCACTTTTTCAGTTTCAGGTTCTTCTTTTAATGTTGAGCTTTCTCTCTGATCATCTTTATTTTTACAAATAAACAACTCATTTTTTTAAAAAAAATAGAATGTAAAGATATTATATTTTATAATAAACAAAAATAAATGAAAGTACATTGCTATTTTGTTACAATTACCTGCAAGCATTCTTGCAGCTTCATTTGCATACACCACTAAAACAGAACAAAGCTCCTTTATATCAGCTGGCCTAATAAGATCTACTAAAAGAGACCTTCAATTTCAACAATTGATCAAATAGTTAGTTTTATATTAAAAAAAAACAATGCAACTTAAAAGATTTTATAAACATGTATAAATGCAAGAAACAACGATGTAGTTTCATTAATTTGTTGATTATAATAGGGTTAATCTCAAAAAAGACCTTATATTTTTTCCAGATTAAACCTCCAAAAAAAGTTGTCTGCAAAAAACCTTGTGTTTTTTCATTTTTTTTTCTGAAAAAGCCCTCAACTTTGTATTTTTTTCCGAAAAAAAACCTTCAACCTTCTAAATGCTTCCAAATAAACCCTCAACTTTTTTAGTTTTTCTCGAAAGAATCCTAACATTTTACTCAAGAGTTGAACTTTATGCAAGGTTGCACACTAAACGGTCTACTCAAGAGTACATTACACCAAAGGCAGCTAAAGTTAAGGTATTTTCAATTCTTTTTTAGGAAACAAAACTTCCTACTACTCGGGTTAATGACTTCGTTAAAGCAACAAATTGACAGAAACCAAATCTTTCGTGAGTAGTAATCAACTCACAAAAGAAAAGAAACAAATTATTATCTCTAAATGTTTTATCCTCTGCCTAGTTGTAATTAAGTATTTTGTAAGTAGTAATCAACTTTATAAAAGGTTTGAGTATTAATTAATAGGAGGCTTATGAAGTGGTTCATTCCATTCCTTAATTATGAATTTAATGGAATGAAATGAACCATTCTATTCCTTATTTCATGTTTCTGTTGTTTCATATTTTTTTTGCTATAATAGGAGGCTTATGAAAGTGCTATGGTGGCTAAGTTTGGTGATGATACTAGTTGCCACCCCCTCTTGGATAATGAAACATGGTGTGATGTTTCCGGAGGAGTCAAGAAAGGAAGAATATATGGATTCGGATCTGTGTCTGATCCAGCGAGCTTTTTGGAAGGAACATCTAGTACAATAACATCCCAAGAGGTACTTTATAAAAATTTCCTATCATGGTATTGTACTTACAAAGTTTCCTATCATGGCATTGTACTTACAAAGTTTCCTATCATGGTATTGTACTTACGAAGTTTCCTATCATGGCATTGTACTTACAAAGTTTCCTATCATGGTATTGTACTTACAAAGTTTCCTATCATGGCATTGTACTTACAAAGTTTCCTATCATGGTATTGTACTTACAAAGTTTCCTATCATGGCATTGTACTTACAAAGTTTCCTATCATGGCATTGTACTTTAGGTTGTCTATGAACGTGTACGAAACGAGATGCGTGGGGAAATGGATGCTAAAGCTGCAGAAATGGAAGCTAAACATCAACAAATGCGTGAGGAAATGGATGCGAAAGCTGCAGCAATAGATGTCAAACAACAACAAATTGATGCAAAATATGAAGCAATGGAGAAGATGTATGCAGCCTTGCAAAATATGATGAGAAATTGAAAATTAGAGGTAATATGATGTTAACCATTAGTATTTGATGTTTTTGAATGACTTGTTAACCTTTTGTATTTGATACTTTTGATTGTTTTGAATAATGTTTTATAGGAATGTGAACCGAAGATGATTGGATGGATATGAAATGAAGAGAGCATCTAAAATGTTATTTTGAAATTATGTTTTGTGAAAACTCATTTCCCGATGCATACTTTGGATTTCTTGGTGCTAAAATGCTATTTTGAAGTTAAACCTTTGGGAGTTTGATGTTATATGGATAGTTTTGGTTTTGGATGTTTTTTGAATGATACTTTAGTAAACTTTGATAGTTTTGGTATTGTAATGTTTGGTTGTATTGTTATTTGATGTTTTTTAGTATAAAAATTTGATGATTGTAGTATTTTTTCTTTTAGAATCATAATAAAAAAATGATATTACAAGTTCGCATCGGATTGGTGAGAATAAAAAAAGTATTTTAATGCATCAATTTTGTGAGGGATTAGCTACGGAAAAAATATCATGTCTAAAGTTTGTGACGGATCAGCGACGGAACAAAAAAAAAATTAATGTATAAATTTTGCAAGGGATTAGCTATGGAAAAAAACCATATCTAAAGTTTGCGACAGATTAGTGACGAAAAAAAAAAGAGAAATCAATATATGAATTTTGCAAGGGATTTGCTACGGAAAAAAACTGATCACTGAAATTTTGCGACAGAAAAGCGACGGAATGACTTTATCAAATTTTGTCGTTAATGCCCCGAGTAAATGTGTTGAGTGACATTTAGCGACGGATATTCTGTAGCTAAATTTGTCGCAAGGAAAAACCTCTCCGTCGCCAAAACCCTCGCTGAGAAATTAGCCACTTCTTAATTACCTATGGAGCGAGTCCGTCGCTGATCCATCGCAAACAACATTTAGCGACGGATACTCCCGTCTCTAAAACCCATGTTTCTAGTAGTGTGTGTGTGTGTGTATATATATATATATATATATATATATATATATATATATATATATATATATATATATATATATATATATATATATATATATATATCAGATGTGTGCTCATACAAAGCGGTGATGATAAATAGTTTTTTTGCAAATAATTTCTTGTGGCAAAATAATTATTTGATTTTATTATTAATTATTATGTAATAAAAAAATTATCCCTTTTAAATTAAAAATTTATGTTTAGACATTATATTTATATTGCATGTTTAAACTATTGTTGTAAATTAATTAATATCGTTGTCTAGTTGAAGAAATATAAATTAATTTATATACATGAATTTAATATTTTAAGTTTGTTAGTTTGCTTTTTTTTTTTTTTGAAACGGTAAACTAACTAATTAACATACTCCTAAATAACCATCTATATCTCCAAAGTGATTTGAACTCATGACCTCTCAATTAAGAAAATCACTCCGTACCGCTAGGTCATTGACCATTTGCTAAGTTTGTTAGTTTGCTCCAAATTGAATTTCTAAATAACATCCATTAATTCAAGTATTTAGACTTTTGTCTTGTATTAATTATTTATTTATGTATAAATAATTTGTACAAAAAAATTTGTAATTTACATTTCTTAAAATTTCAGATATGACTAATATGCTTTATAATATATATATATATATATATATATATATATATATATATATATATATATATATATATATATATATTACATTGACCGAAAATGGTTTAGTTATTGTTTATATTTTGACAAAATTGCAAAAATGGTCCCTGTGGTATGCAAAATTTTGGGGTTTTAGTCCAAACCACAAGTTTTTTGGAATCATAGTCCTTTTGGAGTGGTTTCTATGTGGTTTTGGTCCCTGACTTAACTCCTGTTAAGTTGGAACTGTTAAGCCCCCTCACGTGCCTCACACGTGAGGGTAATTTCGTCATTTCATATGTCAGGGACCATTTTTGCATAGACGTTTTTTTGGATTAATTGACATTTACCCCTCATTTACTTTCCCCAACACTCGTCAACTCCCCAACTCCCTCCTTCTTGCTTCTGCTCCATTGAACCTGCAAAAAACCCTCGTTGCTTATCCAAACAAGATAATCGACACTACACATATAAGGGCATACGTTTAATACGAAATGGTGTTCGTAATGTGGTATATCAGACCAAAACACGAAGTTGTTGATGTATCAATTGTATATGGTAAGCTGCTCTGTTTTCTTTAACTTTTATACTTTGCATTTTCTTATTGATTTAGAACAAAAAAATGCAAAATTTTAACTTTGTTAATATGTATAATTTTGATTTTTAGCTGGTGCACCCACATGGTTTAGTATTAAGCTTCATCACGGTGGGAAATTTACTAAATTACCTGATATAAAGTACATTGGAGGTGAAGTGCGTTATGTTGATTATCTGGAAATTGATGAGTTTTCTGTGCATGAACTTGATGCCATAATGCTTGACCTAGGTTACCCAGACCCATGGAATTCTGAATTCGCTGATGAATCCCCAGTTATATACTACCATTTTAGGATACCCAATGGTGACTTTCAATTTGGTCTTAGAGCTTTAGGGAATGATCAGGATGTGATCAACCTTTCTAAATACATTGCACATAACAAGCTGATTGAGGTGTACACAGAGCATGGAAAGACAAATTTATTGACTTACTTCATGTCACCAAATGCAAAGGGTAAAGTTGTCATTGAGGAATTACCAGAAAATGATGATCAAGGGGCTGAAGTTGAGGGTCAAGTTCATGCAGATTCTCCAATGAAAAATGTGAACCATGGTAATGGTGAGCCTATTGGTGAGTTCATGTCTCTGATTCTTTTTGGGAGTTAGAATGATAGTTTCTCACCAGAGTATAAAAGGGGTAGGGTTGGGAATTCCAAAATAGGTGAAATTTCTTGTAGCAAGAGGCTTAATTTAGATTATATTGATGAGGTTGTTCACATTTCAAAGGAAAAGAATGATGATCTGGATGGTTCAACTAATGTTCAGGAGGCAGCAACTTGTGTTCATATTGATGAGATGGATGGTGTTAGGGAGGCTGTAAATGTTGTTCAAGAGGCATTAACTTTTGATGAAGAAGGCTACAACACCCCCCTGTTAATAATGTTGATGAACAATTGAATGAGTTATTTGATAACCTTATGGAAAATTTGATTGGGAGTGATGATGATAATGCAGAGTATGAAGGGGATGGAGAATCTGAAGAGGGTAATCAAGAGTATGAAGAGGATGATGAATCTCAAGAAAGTGATCCAAATTTTGAAGAGTATGATGAATCTGAAAATAGTGATCCAGAGTATGAAGAAGACGAGAGACAAATAGAAGATGAAGATCATATGGATGACATAATGGATGTTGACAACAATATACAGGATGTGGATGTGGACATGGGAGACTTCACTCTCAATGTTGAAAGTGATGTGGAAGGTTCTTGTATAAATGTTGTTCATGGGCATGAACCTGAAGATATGGAAGTGATTAACCATGAGGAATTTGAATCTTTGGATGAAGGATCCGACCAAGACAGAGAGAGAAGAGCTCTTATCAAGAATTTGAGAAAAGAAAAAAGGTGCAGTCTTGGGGTAGTACATAAACAATCTTTTTCAGTTGGAGATAAATTTAATAGTAAAAAAGAATTAAAGGAGGCAATTGATCTGCATGCACTAGAATCAAGAAGGAATCTTTTCTTTAAAAAAAATGACAATGTAAGGCTTAGGGCATAGTGTAGAGGTGTTGTACCTGTCACCAATAAAGGCCAAGTGGGTAGTCAAGCTACCACTTCAAAAAGAAAGGGTAAAGAATTAAAGACACAAAAAGTAACATGTGGTTGGTACATTCATGCATCTAGGTCAAATCCTGAATCCAACTAGTTTATAAGGACCTTAAACCAAACTCACACATGTTTGCAAACAAGGAAACTCAGGGCTTGTACTGCTTCTTTAATCAGCAAGAAAATACTTGATCAAGTTGAGGCGAATCCAGATATACCTTTGAGAGCCATACAAGATCACTTTCAAAAGACCTACCAAGTGAGTGTTAGTATGGACAAGGTGTTCAGGGCAAAGGATAAGGCAAGAAAGCATATAACTGGTGACTACACAAAGCAGTATGAACTGTTGAGGGACTATGTTCTCGAACTTCAAGCCACCAACCTAGACACCACAGTGAAAATAGATGTATGTTCTGAGCCTAACCCTGATTCCCCAACTAGGCAATTTAGAAGAATTTATGTATGCTTGGGTCCACTGAAAAAAGGGTTCAAGGCCTGCCTTAGGGACTTATTAGGTTTTGATGGTGCCTTCATGAAAGGACCATTCCCTGGGCAAGTCCTTTCAGCAGTTGGTCTTGATTCCAATAATGGAATTTACCCATTAGCATATGGGATTGTTGAGTCTGAAAACACAGAAAGCTGGAAATGGTTTTTAAATAACCTTGGGGATGACTTGGACCTTGGAAGAAACTCAAATTTTACTTTCATAAGTGACAGGAAAAAGGTAAAGTTGGAAGTAGTTTTTATATATTTGGTCATTTAAAGTGTGGTTGTAAGTTAATTCTAATGATTGACAATTAATTTTTGCAGGGTTTACATACTGCAGTTGAGCAAATTTTTCCCAATGCTGAGCATAGATATTGTATCAGACATATTCATGACAATATGAGGAAAAGATGGAGGCAAACAGAGTACAGGGACCACTTATGGAGGTGTGCATCAGCTACCACCATTCCTGAGTTTGAACATTTGATGAAGGAGTTTAGTCAGTATGATAAGGAGGCATGTGAATGGTTGAAGCAAATTCCTCCTAAACATTGGCAAGGAGTCATTTTTCAGGTAAATCTATATATTCCAATTTGGTCCTTATGTCTTTCACTTAGTGAATTGTTTTACTTGTATGTGAATTGTATTAAATGTTTTTTAATTGTAATTTACACACAGGAAGAGCAGTTTCTGATGTGTTGATATCAAACATGTGTGAAGTGTTTAATGGGAAGATAGAGAAAGGAAGGGATAAACCTGTCATTGGATGTTTAGAATTCATAAGGGAGTATCTAATGAAGAGGATATACAATGTCATGAAGGAAATGAAAAAGGCTAAAGGTCCACTAACACCCACAGCAACAAACATCCTAGCTGCAATAAAAACAGTTGCTTCACAATACATTGCTAGGTGGAATGGGGGAGACAAGTATCAAGTCACAGGAGCTTTGCAGGATCAACATGTGGTTGATGTTAGGAACAAAACATGCACTTTGCAGAAAATGGGAATTAATTGGAATTCCATGCAGACATGCAATTGCAACTCTGAATGAGATGAGTAAAGACCCATAGGCTAAGCTTGACATTTACAAATGGGTTCACAAGGTGAATTTTCTAGAGACATAGAAAAAGGCTTATTCTTTTAAGGTGGAGCCAATTAAGGGTAGATCCATGTGGCCCAAAAGAATGTCCCACAAAGCTAATCCCTCCTCCACATCGCACTCAGGTGGGAAGGCCTAAGAAAAAGAGAAGACAAAGTGAGGGTGAAAGGTTAAGCAAAAAGCAGAAGGCAAGTCAAGGTGATGGAGTGAATACTGCACAAGAAGGAGGTTCCTAAAAACCAACAAATGATGGAGTGCAAAAGCTATCAAGGAAGCATATCAGTGTTACTTGTAGCAAATGCAAGAACAAGGGACACAACTCTAGGACCTGTAAAGGGCAAGGTGGGAATCAATCCAAGAAGTAATGTGTCATGCATGCATGGAGTTTTCTGTGATTTTGGTTGGTTATGAAAACTTGGTTGTTATGTTTACAATATTTTGTTGAAAATTTTTGGTTGGTTGTTATGAAAACTTGGTTGTTATCTTAGGTAAGGTAATGTGTCCCTTTTGGTAATGTTTAGAATCTTTGGTTGTTATGTTTAGAAACTTTGGTTGTTATATTACAAATCTTAATGAAATGTGCATTTTGGTTATGTACAATTGGTTCTAATATATATATTTTGGTAACACATTCATACCATTTCTATTCATATGTTAATTCTTATACATTCATACCATTTTGGTAAAACATTCATTACACTTGCATCATAAAATTGTACATATATCATTATCATCATAAGTCACTACAAACTTGATCACATAAAATTACAACAAAATGACCAAAACACCCTTCAGAGTATACCCCTACACAAACCAAATATAAAAGAATACAATCACAAAGAAAAACCAACTTCCAAACATGTACATTTTCAGCTTCAAATTATCATCCTTCAATGCTCTGACATTTGCCACCAAAATGTTGTTCTTGCATATCAGTCCATTGCATTGATCCTATAGCATGTTCATACCTCTAACCAACTCATTGCACCGTTCCTGCACTGAATTCAAATTTCTTAGCAGACCAGGTATGATGGCTTTAGACCTAGCACACATTGGGGGATCAAGCCACCCAATAAACCCACAAACGGAATCATTCATAGGGCATGCAAAAAATCTCCTTCCTGGATTCAAAGGGGTCCAAGACGTTTTCACCACAGCAACTTTTCCACAAAAACATAGCACCATTTTTGTTGTAGCAGAGCTCAAGAAGAAAAAGGCTAGAAGAAAAGAGACGTTGGGGAAGAAGATCGCAGGAAGTGGGGGTATTTAAAAGGAATTAATCCAAAAAAACGTTTATGCAAAAATGGTCCCTGACATATGAAATGACGAAATTACCCTCACGTGTGAGGCACGTGAGGGGGCTTAACAGTTCCAACTTAACGGGAGTTAAGTCCAAGGACCAAAACCACATAGAAACCACTCCAAAAGGATTATGGTTCCAAAAAAACTCGTGGTTTGGACTAAAACCCCAAAATTTTGCATACCACAGGGACCATTTTTGCAATTTACTCTTAATTACTTGTGCATATATATCTTTATTGCGTTGATCAAACCAAATACCAACATATATTACAATTCTTTGTGATGCATAGTCTAATATGTTTCATATCTAAAAGAGTTACTGATTAATAAAAATATTCATTAATCAAGCATACTAAGGCAATTTAATCTTAGCAACTAATACAAATATCAGGGCTATAAACGAACTCAACGTGGTAACGACCCAAATTTCAAAGAAAATTTTCATTTTTAATTAATATGATAGAATTGCATAAACCATGAAATCCCAACATAATTGTTTTCAAAACAATATTCTTTACAATTTTATTTAAATCATCAGAGTGTCGCCGAAACATGTCAGTAAAAGAGAGAGAGTGCACGTCGCGCCATCATGCCTTACCCTTGCCCTTGGGCTAAGATGTACCTGAAACAAATCAAAAACTTGTAAGCGAAATGATTAGTAAGTTACCTAGAGCATACCACACACAATACACATACATATATCATGTTAGCTGATTAAAGCTACATACATATCACATAAGTCATACATACATAAAACCTGTAACAATACCACGGGCTACCCCACATGGTCTTTACCTAGTACTGAAATAGGCTACCCCATATGGTCTTACATCCAATGCAATAGGCTACCCTACATGGTCTTTACCTAAGACGGTCATGGGCTACCCCACATGGTCTAACATCCAATGTCACGGGCTCCCCCAGGGGTCTTTCATGCAAAACACACAATCACATATCATATCAAATCACAAAATGACTAATACATAAATCATAATCACATAATAGGCCGGCCTTGGTGCCTTAGACCCATAGGTATGGTGAGAAGACTCACCTGTGTCTGCTGAATACAAAAGTTGCTCTCCTAAGAGTTTGCAACATCCTGTGCTGAATAATAATATTAATCATTGTTAGGATTTTAATTAACCAAAGGAAACCCAAACTCCAAATCCTTCCATAAGGCCCAATTATCCTTCCCTTGTTAATGGGCCCCAAAGTCCAAATCTAAGATCATTAATGGGCCTCTTGGCCCAGTAAGGCCCAATCAATATGTTCATGGCCCATAACTGATGAAATGACTTGCAATTCTCAAAATATAACCATATCCAATAACCAAATGAGGCCCAATAGCTCAAAGGCCCAAAACAAATTTGGGCCCAACTGTGACATCCTAGTACGCGCAATATACTAAGGTCTTGGGACTACGCGCAGCGTACATTGGGTTACGCCCAACGTACAATCAGGTTAAGCACTTTCTCCATTAAGTGCTTAATACTTGATTCCTTTGCGTCCAAAGCTAGATCTAAGTTTATTAAGACGTCCTTAGGCATAAAGTTGGCAACTTTATGCCTTTGCATGCCTCATATACACCCAACACCTCCATTAAGACCTTTCCAAGGCCTTTAACCCATGCATGAGGCCAAAACTCTCATCAAGACTCTATTTTTATGATACTAAAGGACCAAAGGACCTCAGATCTGTCATTCCCATCTTATGGGGTTGCTTAACTCACAAGTGGAGGTCCAAAATCAACCAAATTGACAAAACTAGAAAACCCTAGCTTAGGTCTAGAGATTTAAGAGAAAATGTGCAAGCTTTTTTACCTCCAGAAGCTTTGAAAGAAGACCAAGATGCAAATTCTTGAAGCACCAAACCGTCCCAAGCTTTCTTGACCACTTCTTCTTCTTGAAAGAACTCTAAAATGGGCACCAAAACCCACTCCTTAAGCTCAAAACCCTCACACACAAGATCTCAGCTGAAGGTAGATGAAAAAAGGCTAAAGAGGTTGATAGGGTTTGGTCCAAGAGGCTAAAAGATGTTTAAATAGGGGACAAGTCCATCTAAAGTGACAAAGAGGAACAAATAACAGTTGTGTGTATGAAAAACGAAAGGTGGACCTGAAGAGCTTCAAGGGTAGAGAACTTGAAATCGAGTTTTTCGCCTAATTTAAAATCAACATACGATGCTGAAGAGGAATTGCGCTTGTGAAACCTATTCATCATCTTCTGCTTCATCATCTCCTTCATTATGATTAACAGTCAATCTTTAGAATCGTTTAAACTTAGAATCTTCATAATCAGATGGTGATTTTAGGGTTTACCCACCCGAAACGGTGTTTACTAGCCACCAAGGAAGACAAATAGCTCCCATCATCCTCTTCCCTTTTTCTATCGACAATCAGCAGCCAAACACCCTCATCATCCGTTGCCAATTCTTGATTCCCCTTTCCCTCTTTTTTTCTTCGACTCACCAGAAAAATAAAACAAAAGAAGGAGGCTATTGCGTCCGTTCCAGCCACCTGCGATGGTAGATATGTTAAGGGGGGGAAAGGAACCCGTTTTTACGGCGATCCTCTTGGCTTGACTTCGTCGCCGACAGCCACAGATCGCGGTGAAGGTAAACAACAAAGAGTAGCACCGAAAAATGGCAGACGGGGTTGTGTACGTCGATGAGGGGAAGTAGTCGGTGTCTCCGACGAGCAAAGGGAGCAAGGATCTTCAGGGGTGTTTCATTGTGGAGTCTATGAGCAAATGGTGGAGGGGATAGTTGCTCTTCGGCGAGCCCTCGTGGGTTCCTTTCTTATCGTCAACAGTAAAGAAAACGAAGGAACAAAGCAGTGGTAGCAGCGCCGAATAGGGGGTGTTTGGATGTTGTTGTTCGACAGGAAAGAACGAGGGAGGACGAGAGTCGATTTTCCGGTGGTGAATCACGAAGGAAACGGAGGCTGCTTTAGCGGCTTCCCTTGGCTTCTTTCCTCCTGTCACTGATAGTTAAACACAAAGGGGCAGGGGTGTTTGGGTGATGCTTTTCGAAAATTGTAGAGGTGTTTGGCAGCTGGGATTAAAGAAGGAGAAAGGAAGGGTTTGTTGCCCATGGTGGTGGCCGGAAAATGCATCACCTCCGGTGGAGTTTCTTGGCAGCGAAACAGGGAGAGAGAGAGAGAGAGAGAGAGAGAGAGAGAGAGAGAGAAATGGGGTGTGGGTCCTATTCTTGATTTGTTTAACATTTATAATTAAATAAAAGAAAAAAGAATATTTAAGTACATAGAAAAAACAAATTAAAAGGGCAAAGTAGTCTTTTCAACTTTATCGGGGACCAATTCTGCAATGAAAGTAGCCCAAAAGAAGCACGAAACCAAAAAAGTCATGGTTCGGACTAAAACCTCAAAAAAATGCTAACCACAGGGACCATTTTTGCAATTTTGTATATATATATATATATATATATATATATATATATATATATATATATATATATATATATATATATATATATATATATATATATATATATATAGGGAATGAGAATATATACATTACAACCCCACCTAAGCATAGGTATAAAACCACTAAAATATGTCGTTTTAACTTAGTAAATATACCCGATTTGGTTTTCACTTGGTAAATAATATTTTCTTCCTCCATTATCATTTTACCATGCTTGATTTCTTTCATCAATTATTGTTAATTACTTCACTCCAGCAAACATTAATTTTTTTTCTATTGTTACGAAGGTCGAAAATAATCAATATTTTTGCTTCCTTATCAAAACTATTTTATCTATCTTGAATCTACATCATCAAGTATTAATAGTGAATCCCTTAACTGTAGTATTTATGTAGTAAAACAATGTATTTTAATGAGGTTTAATACCTAAGTTTAGGTGGAACTGTAATGTATATTCACTTTTTCATATATATATATATATATATATATATATATATATATATATATATATATATATATATATATATGAACCAATAGAGAAAAAAGAAATTAGTGTTACAATAAATAATTAATTAAAGTAAAAGAATTTGATAATTTATAAACTTACCATAAAAAATCTAAGGTCCCGTTTGATATACATCTTTCCAGGTCCACACAGATCTTTCTGGTTGAATGGACCGGAAAGACTGTTTAATTTGCACAAAAAAAAATGTCTTTCCCGGTAAAATATGTCTTTCCCAGAAAACTCTAAAATCATATCTTTCTGGTTGAATGGATTGGGAAGACAATTATGCACCAAACCTCACATCTTTCTTTCTTTCTTGGATTATCAATGTGTTTTAAATAACTTTTTTTAAATTTATTTTTTTATTTTTTAGTACTTTTTTTTTAGCATTCAGCACAGTTAATCAGATGAATAATCAAACAGCATGATTTCTTTTCCAATCAGAAAATTTTCCCGAATAACACTTTATCATAGCACTTTCCAAGATAGAAATATATTACCAATTTTCCGAATTTTATATCATAAAGGTTGAACCAAATTTTTTACCCACATAAATGTAACAACTTACCAACCACTTTAATCATCATTCAATTTTGCCGCACTTAACCCATCTACTTCCCTCACTATTTATATTTCACCCCCCAAAATCTTCCATAATTTCTTCAATGGCGTCACCACCAGAACTCCTCCATGATTTCCCACCTTTTCTACAAGTATACAACGACGGCCGGATCGAACGCCTGATCACCACCCCCCGCCTCCCACCATCAACCGACCCCATCACCGGTGTCCAGTCCAAAGACGTAGTAATCTCACCTGACCACGAAACCAAATCCCGTATCTTTCTCCCAAAAATCAACCCTCAAGATCCACCAAAAAAGCTTCCGCTCATCATCTACATCCACGGCGGCGGATTTTGCATCGGGTCACCGGTGAACATCGTGACTCACAACTTCCTCACGCCGCTAGTCTCCCAAACCCCAGCTGTCGCCATCGCCGTTGGTTACAGGCTTGCCCCGGAAAACCCTCTACCCACCGCCTACCATGACTGCTGGGCTGCATTCCAGTGGATCGCCGCTCATTCAACAGGGTCAGGCCCCGACCCGTGGATCAACGATTACGTGGATACAAGTCGGGTTTTCTTGATGGGTGAGAGTGCTGGGGCGAACTTGGCCCATTATGTTACGGTTCAAGCCGGAGTCAGTAAACCCGGTTTGGATATCCAGGGTTTGATCGCATTGCACCCGTATTTCTCTGAGAAAGAACCCGACAAGATGATACAGTATTTGTATCCGGGTAGTTCTTCGTCGGATGATGACCCGAAACTCAACCCACGTTCAGATCCGGATCTTGAGAAAATGGGTTGCTCGAGGGTGTTCATTATGGTTGCTGAAAAGGATTTTTTGAAACAAAGAGGGATAGATTATATGGAGACATTAAAGAAGAGTAAATGGGAAGGAAGTGTGGAGTTTGTGGAGAATGAAGGAGAAGATCATTGTTTTTATTTGTTTAACCCAAGAAGTGAAAAGGCCAAGGGAGTAATTCAAATGTTGATTTCTTTTGTAAACCAAGCATAGCGATATTTATGTCATTTTTATTTATTGGGTCGTTATTAAACCACTCATATAAGAGTTGTTGCATTGTAAGTTTATATTAGAAATCCATAAAACATAATTTTGTTAAATAAAATATAATTAAAAGTCGCTTCCACAACAAAACTTTCTATGTATTGTGGTGACTTATAATTTATTAACAGGAAAAAAATGAATGTATTGATGTTAAGAATATAAGCTCAAGTATTAAATCTAGTAAAACATAATTTTGTTAAATAAAATATAATTAAAATTCGCTTCCACAACAAAACTTTCTATGTATTGTGGTGACTTATAATTTATTAATAGGAAAAAAAATGAATATATTGATGTTAAGAATATAAGTTCAGGTATTAAATCTAGTAAAACATAATTTTGTTAAATAAAATATAATTAAAATTTGCTTCCACAACAAAACTTTCTATGTATTGTGGTGATTTATAATTTATTAATAGGGAAAAAAATGAATATATTGATGTTAAGAATATAAGCTCAGGTATTAAATCTAGTAAAACATAATTTTGTTAAATAAAATATAATTAAAATTCGCTTCCACAACAAAACTTTCTATGTATTGTGGTGACTTATTGTTTATTAATAGGAAAAAAAAATGAATATATTGATGTTAAGAATATAAGCTCAGGTATTAAATCTAGTAAACTAGTATGAAGTTTGAATTAAAATCAAATAATGTATCCTAAAACATCATGTAACCTAAAATTCACCGTTTTCTTCTATCATGTTTAAAATTTCTTCCTTGATTCACACCGATGATTCTTATAAGAAAGAACCGAGTTATATGAATAAAAAAAACATAAAATAAATCTTATATAGGATTAAAGAAATTGAAGAATTTTTATGATACACGTTTTATGAGACATGATTATGATGAGGGTTGTTGATTATCATATAAAATAAGATAGTTTAATGGATGTAATACATAAACTTATATATTTAATAAATAAGATAATTTAATGGATTTAATATCTAAACTCTATATCCTTAAAATTTTGAGATAAAAGAGTTTTATGGGCCTTTTAGCACTTACAGAATAATGATTATTATTAATAGGCCTGATAAGTAGTTGGCCCAACAGTGAATGGACTTTAGAAGTTTTACCCTTTTGGGTACAAAGAAAAGTACAATCCGTCAAGCATATATTACAATTCAATTCTAACGCCAAAGATCATCAAATCGCCGGAGAAACGAGACATTGATTATCTCCACCACGCAGAGCCAAGCCAACCTACACAGAAACAGAAATGGCAAGAGAAGTATCGGAGAGCTGTATGGATAGCTTGCTTACAGAGATTGTTTCTTCGTATTGCAATGTGCTATACGTTAGTAAGCCGGAGCTCGCTGCTCGGAGAATCGAAGCCATTGGCTACCAAGTCGGCCACCAGCTCTCTGAAAGGTATACATGTCACATCGCACAAGCTAATTGCTTTCCTCGAATTATCTGAAATGTCAGTTGTTTTGTTCAATCGATTCTAGTTTTTTTCATTTATTGGATCGTATTAGGGCTTTTAGCCCTAGAATCGCATTTGCTCATCTGGATCTTCAAATTTTAATCATCGAATCGTAAATGTAGTAATGTACATTATCGTTTTTCAAATTTATTGCTAGGGTACTCAGGATCAAGATCTGTTAGCTCTTATTTATCCAGATCTAGAGATTCATCACCTAATCGATTTCTTAGCTGAATAATTATGTTGCTAGAGATTGTAATTCTCCGATCGGATTATTCATCGAGTTTTGTCAAATGGAATTCGTGATTTGCAATATATATGATTTCATTACTCCATTGCCCCCAAAACCAGAGACATCCGATTCAAGCTGTTACTGATTTCATCTTTTTGTCAGGTACACAATGGAGCGACCACGTTTCAGTGATCACCTGGAGGCAATCAAGTTCATTTGTAAAGATTTCTGGTCTGAGCTTTTCAAGAAACAGATAGACAATCTAAAGACGAATCATAGAGTAAGTTCCACTTCCACACTCCATAATCCATATCATACAAGTAAAAGATTGCTAGATTGAATGATATTTTGATATAATGAATTCATGTATATTCTTCTAGGGTACATTTGTTTTACAAGATGATAAATTTGCATGGGTTTCACGCATGTCTTCAACTGAGAATTCTGGTTCAACTCAAGAACCTGGAATTGGAAACAAAGCAGCAGAAGCAAGTAGCATGCATCTGTATTTCCCTTGTGGAATTATAAGGGGAGCTCTTTCAAATTTGGGCATTTCTTGTGCTGTGTCTGCAGATATCTCCAACCTCCCTTCTTGTAAGTTTTCATCTGATTCTTACTCAATATTTTGGTCAAATAAACATTAAATCAAAGAACTTTTTATGAACTGATGAGATTATATTTTGTATACATTGATGAACAGGTTCATTTGTGATCCGGATAAAGGTGTAGCAAACATATCTGTAACTGTAAGTAACTCTGCAACTGTTGTTTGTATGTTGACCGTTGACAGTTGAAATCAAACTGTAAAATTGATATTCATGTTATGCACTTATAATATATATATTTTTTTCAAATATATAATCATTATTAACTGTATATTATTTTTTATTTTTTTAATTTAAAAGAAGCTTTAAGAGGAAGAAGAGATTTTTATAAGGGTATATTGTCGTATTGGTCCTAGGGGGTGCTTCAGATTGCTTATTAAAAGTGTTTATCAACTTATTGTCTTTTGTAAAAGTGTTTGGATTAACTTTTATACTACAATGACCAAAAATGACATGCTTAGGGCATCTCCAACCCAAACACTATACTCTACACTAAACTCATTTTTACACTAAAATCCTCCAACCCCACACTAAACCTAACACTATATATATAGTGTTGTTTAAATATAATGTTATACTATTCATAAACACCATCTTTTACACTATAAAATTTGGATAAAATAGAATATACCTCGAATATTTTTTTTAATGTTGATTATAGTGTAATGGGTTGGAGAGGTTTAATGTTAACACTATTTTTTACATTATAGTTATTGATTTTAGTGTTAAAGATTGGTGACGGTGTTAGGGTGGAGGGAGTCTATCCCTTCCACCCCTCCCAATCCACTTGCTGTACCGCTGTTACATCAACTTTTCTCTCTCCTTTCCTTTTCACCTATCACATCTCATGACACTTAACATATAGAAATCCATCACTTTAATCCCTTTTAACCTCATATGATTTTTAATGTTAAAATAAATACAAACTAATTAAAATCATACAAAACTAGTTTACCAAATGTTAAAAAGACAAAACTGCACAAATGGTCCCTGTGGTTAGTTGAAAATTGCCACTTTGATCCAAAAAAGTTTGGACTAGCACCAGTGGTCCAAACTTTTCATTTTATTGCGAGTTTGGTCCAGTTTCCTTTAAACTTCTTCATAATGACTATTTTGCCCTTATTGTTTTTTTTTCTTTTTTCAGTTTTTTTTCTTATTTAAATACTTTTTTTATTAAAAGAAATAAAAAAGAAATTTTACATTTTCTATTTATTTTTATAATTTTTTCTAAAAAAAATGAAATCTCTCTCTCTCTCTCTCTCTCTCTCTCTCTCTCTCTCCCCTTTGGATAAGGATATCCACACAGATACCTCCTCCGATCTTCTCCACCCCAACGCTCTCACCACCGCCTATCGCCTTCCTCCAGTCATAGAGTTGTGCCACTAGAAAACCACCAGGGACCACCAGAACATCACCACTGCCACCACCTATTTACCCTCCTACCATCGCCGATCAACCCACCAACCTCAACCCTTTCCCTCCTCCTTCCTTCTGGTCAAACCCGTTGAAACAGGAAGACGAAATCAGTAGAGCTGACATCTCCACCCACCGCCACCGTCTTCACCTTCTTGTTTCGCCACTGTTGATGAAAGTCCGACCACCACTTTATACCCCTCCTCTCGACTGAAAATCACCACCAAACACCACTCCCATTCGATTTCTCCACTGAATTCGACCAGAACCCAACCAAAAACGAGGCCAAAGGCTGCCGGAGCAACCTCCGACCACTATAGCAGGTAGTCGCTGATGTGGGACACCGCCGCCAATAGCTGATGTTTCCGCCGACCCTCTCCAACCAGTCTCGTCACCTGGAAACTCTAACCCCATTTTTGGTAGCCGCCGGCCTTGGTTGCAGATCTGGAACATCAATATTGCCAGTGATATCTCCGGAAACGATTATAACAATGACGCCAAGGCTCAGATCTGGAAAGACGAATCGAAAAAGTGTCGGTTGTTTGGGAGGGAGGTTTCAGATATGAACAACCACCGAAGCTATCCATCTCTGGTTCGATCTGTTGAAGCTCAGTCGGATGAAGACGAAGGGCGACACCATATTTTCCGGAGAGGCGAAGGAAACAACGTTTGGGTGCAAGACGAAGGACTACGACGGTGTTTCAAGGGGTTGGTTTACATATATCCATTTAAAGGGTTTTCCTGTCGGAGGTTGGTGGTGGCAGAGACGATGGGGGGATGAAGGCGGTGGTGGCTCGACTGACGATAGTGGTGTCGGAGATGCTCTTCTACAGAGGAAGAGAAATTGAGTGTTTTGTGTTAAACGAGAAAGAGGAGGAGGCAAAGTAGTATTGTTTTTATTCTTGTTTTCTTTTTAATTATTGTAATAAAAGAAAAATGAAAAATCAAATTGACAAGGGCAAATATGTCATTTTAAAAAGATTCAAAATAGATTGGATCAAACTCGCAACAAAATCAAAGTTTTGGACCGGTGGTGCTAGTCCAAACTTTTTTGGACCAAAGTGGCAATTTTCGACATACCACAGGGACCATTTGTGCAGTTTAGTCTGTTAAAAATATACAAAACTAATTAAAAACATGTAAAACTATTTTGATACAAAATTTTATGCATGAAATACAAATAACCAAAGCGTGAACTAGAAATGGTGGAACAGATTAATTTACCCGTTGAAACACCCTTTTGGCAGTTCCACCCTAACTCGTGTCTAAAACGTGACTCGAGACAGTGTAGCCAATGGTACCACTTTGGCTCGCTCCAAAATCTTGTGGACTTGGTACACCCTTACATATTTAATATTTTTACATAATATTTTATACTTGATCATTTCAAAAGTTTGACAAATCTTAATTCTACATAATATATATTTTTTTTACAAAATTTATAATATTTTGATTAGACCATGATAAAATTAGAAATTACGTTCATACAAAAGGAAAATATAAATATTAAATAATACCTAAAGATAATGTATGAAAATACAAATTGTAAATAATTTTTAAAAAAAACACGTTATGTCATTACATTCTTCTTCATAATTCATATCTCACGTAATAATAGCTTGTATCGTTTCTATATACAAATCATTATGGTTTGTATGGCGTATAAGTATACCTTTTTCATTAGTTTCATTATTAGTATCATCTTGTATACCTACATCATTCAGGTTATGATTCTTCTTGTACCTTGTCGAATGTTTCATCAAACCTACCATCTCTTCTAATATAGTTATGGATCGCCATCGATGCTACCACAAAATATTTGGTGCTTTTACATATAATTAGCATGTATCTCTCAATAATGTCCATCTAGCTTTCCACACTCTAAAAGTTTGTTAGATGATATTTCTCAACGACGAATGCTAATAGTTAAAGGTCCTTTTCGGTCTCTTGGGAGTATGCATAACAACAATCTGTCTACATTGAAAATCCGGTATATCATAACAGATTTTTGTACCTTTGTATGGAGCAAGATACCATTTACTATTCGGGTATTTGACATCGACAACGTAATCTGTAATGATATGACGAATAAAACAAACATTTATTATTTGTTTCAAAATGTATGAAAAGTATAAAACTTGCATTACTGAAAGTTATACCAAGGAAATTGAAGTTCATATCTGTATATGATTTCATTGAAAATTCTTGTGTTATGTGTGGTCCCCTTCCATACGATCCATACAAATGTAAAACACATGTTATAATCACAAACAATCTTTACATTTTGTGTAGTATATCTCTTTTGACCAATATACTTTGCTTCATCTTGTTTGACTTGTTATCGTTATATGAATTCCTGTCATCATTATCTATCATACATAATACAAATATAAAATGTAAATAACATAATGTCAACATAATACAAATAAAAAATTCCATGTATATAATGTCAAATAGATAAAAACATATCACATATGACAATAAAATCATTATTCCATAACACATAAGGCGTCAAATCACATATAAAATGACTAATCATTATTCCATAACACATAAGACGACAAATCATTAAGACGACAAATGATTATTCCATAAGTAACTTAAGGAACTCCATATTCACTTTGTGAGTCATTGGAAACATAAAAGTTTCACGATTTTGTTTTTTGGTGAAGACGTGTAATGCTTGTGAACACATTCTCGAACCTTCTTCGAAACTTGGAAAAGAGATCACAATCTTCATGCACACTAGTGTTGTTGGAGAGGGATTGGTTGGTGGAAAAGTTTGTGTGCTTCTTGATGATAGAACATCCGCTAAAACATCTAGGTTTCCCTCATTGTCACCTAAATTGATTTCATCGCTATCTCTTTTGACCTCCATATTCTCTTTAAGTTAACATCATTCCGACTGCTATCGCTTTGGAATTGGAACCAAGTCATAGTCTCATTTCCGACGACAACACCATCTCAAAACAAAAGGAGCATACTACATCTCGTATATCTCTAATTTGAGTCCTTAATTTTGACAAAGTCTTGTATCTTATGACAAAATAAATAGAATTTAAAAAGCTGTGAATCAGTCCTAAAGGGGTAATGATAGCTCATAACTAACAAAGTACATGTGTGCCTTGTGACACTTTGTCTTGCATAGGGAGCATGTTTATTCATAAAATATTAAATAGCCATAGTAGATGTAATGAAATATTTAGACTACACGTCCCAATATTTAGAAAGTTATGTATAGATCTTGCTAGAAATCATGAGTTTAAACAAACACATAATATATCTATTGAGGAATCGGTTGGAATCTTCTTGATGACTTTAACTCATGGATGTACGAAAAGGTTCATGCAAGAATTTTTTGGTCATTCCGAGGAAACAGTTCATAGGCAGTTCCATATAGTTTTGAAAGTTGTGCTTAAGTTAAGTAGCGACATCATCTGACCAACAGTCAAGTATAATGAAGATGTACCTGAATATATTAAATAATCATCGGCACTATCCAATGTTCCAAATATTTTTATGGTAGTTAAACTTTAATAAATATATTAATTATGATATATTGTATTTGTACGATCGCATTGACGCTATTGACAAGACACACGTGAGGGTATCGGTTCGACAACGTGGGGAAGTGAAGTACAGTGGTCGAAAGAATATGCAACACAATATATAATGACGGTTTGTGATTTTAACATGTGCTTTACATTTGTATGAACCGAATAAGAGTGGTATTGCACATCACAAGAATTTTCGATGAAGCCTTATACAAACCTGAAACTTTAATTTTCACATCCAACGGATGGCTAGTATAATTTTTTTAGTAATGCAAGTTTTTTTGTTTTTATGCCGCTTAATGCAACTGAGATGGGTACCGTAAATAATTGTTTTATTTATCATTACAATATTACTTTGTCTATGCCCGATAACTAAATAGTAGAAGGTATCTTACTTTATACAACGATACATACATTTGTTATCATATACTAGATTTTTGACATTGACAAATTGTTGTTATGTGTGTTTGAAAAGAATCGAAAGAGACATTTAACTATCAATGAATTTTTGGAGTGTAAAAGGTAGGTGGGCATTATTGAGATATATGCATGTTAATTATATGTACACACCAAGTAAATATTGTGATAGAATCGATCGATCAATAACTATTTAAGAAGGGATAGTAGGTTTGGTGTAACATTTAACAAAACATAATAAAAATCTTACAATCCCAATGATGTAGGGACATAAGGTGGTACTAATAATGAAACTCGTGAATAATGTCCAACTTCAAGTATGCATCATATGAACTATAATGATTCATATATGGAAGCGATAAGATATATAATTGCACGAGATATGAAATCATGGGGACCTATGCTATCAATAGCGCGCTATAGTGGTGCTATAGCGTTTATCGGAGGTTTGGAGGTACAAAAACACTATTTCAAAATAGCATTTACGAATAGCGGTGACGTTACTAGCGGCGCTATTGAACGTTATTTATCGCGCTATGCATCACCGTTATAGCACCGCTACAGCCAATTATGCACTTTTGTTCACGTTTTGGTCATTTGGCTACTCAACAATATGTGTTGTTTCCTTTATTCTTTTCCTTTTTACATACAAACACAATGCAACATACAACGCTACACAATTCACACATATAAACTCGTGACTATCAAATACTTCAATCACTCACTATGAATCAAAATGTGATGTTTCCTATAATCCTTTTATGTTAAGTGTTTCTCTTTCAATATTTCACACTTATAAACTCGTTAATTTGTGAATTTATGAAGCAATCAATACAATTTGTGAATTTATGAATCATAGAAGCAATCAATCACTCAACGTGAATATGTGATTTAGCCTTTAGGAACATAAATTAGTGAATTTATGAAGTTGTGATTTTAAATTCTTAATTTGTATCGATATATCATATATATGTTTGTTTAATATATCATATATATGTTTGTTTAATATATAATATTAATACTCTAATATATAAACTCTATATAAATATATAATATAAAACTATAAATTATATGTAATAGTAAAAAACCACTATATCACCACGATAACAACGATTTCAAATAGTGGTATGTGATCACTATTGAAATTTTTACCACGATAATTACATAGATGGGAACGAATGTAATATGACATTACATATTACTTTTTTTAGGAATTATTTTCATTTGGTATGAATGTAAAATTTATAATATTATCATGGTCTAATTAAAAAAATTATAAATATTGTAAAAAAAAAGTTACATTATATATTTTTAACATTTGTCAAAAAAAAATTAAATGATATAAAATATTATATGTAAAAGTGTTAAATAGTTCTATATATGTAAGCATAGCATTTTTGGTTCTTTGGTTACTATGTGTAAAATATATCGATTACACGAGATGATTAAAAAAGAGATTGAATATTAAAGTGTAAACAATAAATATTTTTTAAAATAAAAGTTTGAAATAAGAAATAAAAAAATGTATTAATTGTAATTTAGTATATTTATGACATTTAATACTTTACATATATAAATATATAAATATAATGTGGCTTTTTAATTTTAAAATTTGATAAACTCTAGAATTAACATGTGGATATTATATATTTCAAAAATATTATAAAATAACGAGTATAAAAACTCACGAGAGATTGACAAGTAGTAAAATAAATCTTCATTTATTAGAGAAGATTTTAAATATATATTGAAGTTAATCCAAACATTTTTTTTCAAAGGAAGAATTTCATTTATCTTAAATAAACAACAAAATATCATATTTGTCTTACCTAATATATATATATATATATATATATATATATATATATATATATATATATATACTTTCAAAATATCATATTTGTCCAAAAATCCTTTTTTAAACAATTTAAACATTTTAAATCCTTTTTTTTTTTGTCAATTGACTATTATGCCTTTTTATAAACTTTCAAAATATCATATTTACCTAGATAACAATTTATAATCATATTTACCCAAATAGACTTCGTTCATAATTGTTTTTATAACCAACAAAATCCCTAAAATAATACTACAAATTAATGTACAACTTCAGATTCACATGGTACAAAGGAGGATCTCATGAAGATGGAGCAATTTTCTGTACATGATCAGAAAGTAGTATGTGAACTGTGTATATAATGAAATGAACATGCCTTCATAAGAAAGAGTTTTGGTATTCGAAGCATCTTTCTGCCAACTTTCCACCAACTTCCAGAAAACTCACACATCTGAAGGAACTTTTCCAATTAATGATAGTTCCTGTTTAACTTGCTCTGACATCTGTACACCAAAATGGTATCAAGAATTCAGCTAATTGAATGGTAATATGCTTGTTAAGACCATATAACATGGCCTTAAAAACAAATTAAAACACATAGATTCACAGATAGAAAAAACTATGAAGACGTGTTGGAAGCAATAACAAATTAGATTGGAGTACTTAGCAAGTTAGCATAGTTAAAATGATGACTTTAAGTAACAAAAATTGATTCAAAAAGTGTTTAAAAATGTTCAATTTTTTAGGCGATATTTTGGAAGTTTATTTAGAGTACATATATGGTATTTAGAAACTAGATAGGATGAATATGATATTTTGTTTATTCATTCACATATATGAAATCCTTTTTTTTTTTTTTTCAAGTATAGCTTATAGACATATATTTTTTTCATCACATAGGCTAGTCTAAGCATTTTTTAATATTTTTTTTTTTTGTAATGATAATAAACACTTATTTCAAAAAAAATGTTTATTGAGTTAAATAACCTTATACAATAATCCTTTTAGTTGAATACAAGCTAATATAATGCTTGTGATTTATGAATGAAATGTTTGCCGTTAATATTTTTATAATTAAATATAATGTGTTTAGTTTTTTGAAAGTTTATATAAACACGTAATGATGCCATAACTGGAAGAATCAATACGTTTTAAAATTAAAAATGTTTGCGATTGTGACATTCCATGAATTCTAGCATAAGTTTTATCTCTTCTGCTGGCTTTCGTTATGTGGTTAATTACAAATTCCATCCTTTTACTTACCATCAATTTACATTTCTACCCTATTAAGATTTTCTTTTTGCTTTTCTATTTAAATCTCAATTACTCCGTTTGGGTTTTGTTAGCCGTTAATTTGTGTAGCTACGGCACATATGTGTTCAAGTAAATAGTATTTGGTCTTTTTGTTTTTTTTTCTTCTATTTCTCTTTATGTGTTTTATATTTTCTTAATCAAAATTTATATGAAGTCAAAACCTAAATTTTCAATTAAAAAATAATTAAATTGGAAACTTTTATAGAAGAGTTTGGTAAGTGGCATTTCTAAGACCGCTGGTATGGGCAATGACTTTTAGCGTTATGATGATTTGGCAGTCCCATAACGGCGCCATAACGCGAGCGCCCCAGTTAAGAGGCATTACGCGATGACGCATTGCGATGGTAACGGACGGTAACATGTAAATTTTGATGTTTCAACCGTTTAAAAACGATAAATTCAAAATAAAAATTATTAATTAATTTTTTAAAACTATATCAATACATATATACCTCATTCTACACTTCTATTTCTCTATATCTATCTGTGTTTCTTTTATCATTCAAAACACAAACACAAAAATCAACTAAACACAAAAAACCACTATGGATCAAAACCCGAATACTCCTCATCCAAACACAAACACATCCACTCCAATAGGTTTTGCAGGATACGAGGACTACAAGAACCTTTTAAACTCGCAAAACTCACCACAATTTCTATATTCCGGCAATTTTTTTAATCTCGCCTCACCCACACTACAATTCTCTACCTCACCTTTTATGCAACAAAATGCAAACATCCAACAAAAACTTT